AAATATAAGAGAAATATATAGAGAAATTTAGTTATTATTAATATTTATAGTCTAAATATAATAATCTTAGCTAATAAGAATAAGTATTATATATCTATAGATCTATTATAAAAAGATGAGAAGAAAGAAATAATTACTTTTAAGCTTTCTAAAATTTATCTTATTATTTTCTAAATAAAGATTAATCTTTATTAAATCGTTATTTATAATCTTAATCTCGATCTCTCTCTTAATCTCGATTTTAAATTTTCTTTTATATATTCTTATATTATAATTTTTTTTACTAATTAAAACGATATTATAGCTTTTTTCTATTATTAAGCTTTTTTATAAATTTATAAAGCGTAATCTAAGAAGTTAAAGAAGATATAGTAATTTAAAATCTAATTTTTAAATAATTTTATATTTAAGTAATTTAAGCGTGCTTTTTAAAGATTTCTATTTATATAATATATTTAGAGACGCTCTATACGTAGTTTATAGAATTATATCTACTATTAGTATTATTAAGAGTATAAATTTATCTTATAAATTAATCTAGAGTTAAGAATATAGATATTTTAAAACGATCTTATAGTCGGGTAAGTATTCTTTTTAATTCTATTTAAAATTATATTATTATATCTTTTTTATCTTAAAATAGAGTATTTAGCTATTAGAATAAGATAGCTTCTCGAAAATAAATTAAGAGATTTATATATATAATATTCTCTTCTTTAATTATAGCGTAGTCTTTTATATATTAATAGAAAGAATATACTTTTTAATATATAATTTCTTTATTATTAAAAATAATATTATTAATATTATATAATTCTTTAAGATCTAAATAAAAGAATTCTAGATTAAAAATATAGAAATTACTATTAGATCTCTTCGAAGTAGCTTATTTAAAAGATTCTAAAAGATTCTATAGATCTATTAAATTTATAATATTAGATATAAATTATAAATTTTTTATAATTACTTATATAGCTTATAATATAGTTTATTATATTATTAAATTCACTCTTATAGATAAAGACGATATTTATTAAGAGCTTTCTTAATTTTATAAAAGCTAATTTTCGCTAGAATTAAATCTTAAAGCGATATTTTCTAAATTAAAAGCTTCTAACTAATTAAAAGTCGATTTATTAAATTTATTATTAGAAAATTCTACATTTATAAAGTTTTAATATTTTTTATTATTATTTTTTAATATCTTATTAAATATAGCTTAATTTAATAAAAAGAGAATTCTATTTATCAAGTTCGTAGCTATATAAGAATTCTAGAGATTCGATACACTTAATTTCTTTAAAGTAAAATTTACTTCTAATATAAATTTCGAAAATAATAAAAAGAAAGATAAAAACTAAGATTAATAAAGAGATTAAGTTTTTCGCGTAAGTATTATAAATAATAATAAGAAAAGACTAATAAATCTTCTTTCTTTATCTTTATCGAGCTTAGAAAAAGAAGTTTTATTATTAAAATAAAAAGATTAAGTTATCTTAAGAAAAGAAGAAGATAATAACTCTAGAGAGATATTTATATAATCTCTTAAATTAGAATTTAAATTCTTGAGAATAGAGATATTTTTAGAATTAAGATAAGTTATTTTAGCTTACTAGATAAAAAAGTAATTAATATTTATATAATAATAAACTTTTTATATAAAGATAATAACTACTTCTATTAGAGCACTCGTAAATTTAAAATTATAATTTTAGAAAAGAGGGTAGATAAGAGATTTCTTCGATCGAGTAGTTTTTAAAGAAGAGATCGAGTTAATACTCTAAGATTAATCTCGTTAAACGTATAGATCTTAATTATATAAAATGTCGATAGATAAATTATAAGTCTATATAATCGATTTAATAATCTAATAATAATTTTTATTAGGAATCTACTTATAAAGTTTAAGATTTTTTATTAAGAAAGTTTAAAATTAAAAGGCGAGTAAAATCGTTAAGTCTAATAGAATAGATTTTCTAACTTTATTAATTATAAATAGTTATACTCTATTATAAAAAGATATAAAGAGAAAATAAAAAGAAGATTTATTGAGAAGAAAGGGAAGTATTAAGAATAAGAGATAAGTTTTCTTTAAAAGAAGAAAAGTTATTTAAAAAGATAAGGAGAATTAAATAGTTTTTATAGCGGTTCTTTCTTCTAGAAAAAGATTCTTTCTTTAAGAAAGTAATAAAAGAAAAACTTCTTAATATAAGAATAGTATTTTTAATATGAAAAATAATAAGAATAGTAATTAAAGAATATAGAAAAGTTAAGTATTATTATTAATTATTAGGAATACTATATAAAAAGCATATATATACTTCTAAAAAGAAGTTTTATAAAGAAGAGAAAGGTATTTCTTAGTTCTAATTATAATTAATTAATTAAGTTAAAGCTATAAACGTTCTCGAAGAAAGAAAAAGAAGCGATATATCAAGTTACGCTAGTAAGGTTTCTTACGCTATATCGAGAACGTAATACTTTAAATCTCGTATTTTTTAATTTTATTTATATGAGAGAATAGGGGTATAGAGGATATAAGGGGTATATCTTTACGCTAGCTACCCGATACTAACTTATCTTAATTACTCGATATTAATTTTACTCTTACTATTCGGCGCTAACTTACTCTGACTACCTAGCTCGAATTTTACTTTAACTACTCGGCACTAGTCTTACTTTAATAACCCGACGAAAATCGATTAAGTTATTTTATCTTATCTACTCGATTTTAAACCCTATTAGTATTAAGCTTCGTATTTATTAGATTTCGTCTATAAGAGAATATATACGAAGAAGAGTATTAAAATTCGAGTTATGTAACTCTTAACGATTACGTAATATGATTACGTAATACGCCTTAGCGTATCTATATCTAGTCGCTCTTTTCTTTATAGTAACTCTATAGTTAATAACTAAGTATCTTATCTTATATTTTTATAAGACTAAGTTCTATAATTTTTAAATCGTTAAAATACGAAGTTTACGCTTTATAATTTAAAAGAAAATCGAAAATTTTCAATAGAGAATAAAAAAGTTATTTTGAATTTAAATAATATACATCTATTTTTTAAAATTAGAGCTATCGAGCGAAATTTAATAAGAAATATCTAAATTTCTTACTTTTAAATAATTATAAGATTAAATTTCACAATTTTTTTATTATTAAAAAGCGTAAATTACGATCTATAATGAAAATAATTTTTTTTAATAGAAAATTAGAAATTAATAAAGTTATTAAATAATTAAAAGTAGAATAAGAGATTTTAATAGTTATAAACGTTAATTTATTTATTTACGATATCTAATTAAAAAGCGTAATAACTTTAAATTTATAGTTAACTATATATATATAAATTTAAGATTTTTTAACTTAGCTCTATCTTATTCTATTATATATATTAATTTTATAATATTATTAAATCTATTATATAAATACTATAATAGCTATAGAGATTTTTTTTAATCTTCTTAATATTTATATCTCTCTCTTTTAAAATAATTATAATTTAAATAAAATAAATTATCTCTATTATAGATAGTATTAAAAAAAAAAAAAAAAATTAAATAAAAAAATTAAATTTACTAAAACGCGAACTCGTTAATATTTAAAAATTATTAAAATTATTAAAAGTATAAGATCTATAATTATATAATTATATAATTAAGTTATATTATTAAAACTCTCTAAATCTTATTAATCTTTATCTTTATCTATTATTTTAATTTATTAAAAATAAAGCTATTTTATATTAAAAATAATTATTAATATATATAAAAGAATAAGATAGAGTTAAGTTGAAAAATCTTAAACTTATATATATTACGAGTAAAGGCCTATAAATTAAAATTTTAATTTTTTTTTAATTAGAGTTATCGAGTAAATTTTAATAAGCGATCTTTAATAAGCGATATCTGAATTCCTTATCTTTAAATATTTATAAGATTAAATTTAATAATTTTCTTTTATCTGAAAGTCTATATTACGTTCTATAATTTAAATAAAAAATCTTAAAAATTTAATAGAAAATAAAAAAGTTATTCTAAAATTAAATAATATATATCTATTTTTTAATTAGAGCTATCGAGCGAACTTTAATAAACGATATTTAAGCTTCTTACTTTTTAATAATTATAAGATCGAATTTTAAAATTCTTTTAGCATTAAATAGCGTAAACTACGCTTTATAATTTAAAAAAGAAATTTTAAAATTTTAATAAAAAATAAAAAATAAAAAAGTTATTTTATTTATAAGTAATATATATTTAATTTTTAATAAGAAGATATAAGAGAGCTATTAAGCTAACTTAGTTAATCTAATTAAAGAGCGTAGCGAACTCGAATTTATAATTAGCTATATATATAAATTTAGAATTACTACGCTCTTTAATTAAATCGACTAAATCATCGCGAATAAATAAATTAGCGTTTATAATTATCAAAATCTCTTATTCTCTTAATTCTACTTTTAACCCTTTAATAACTTTATTATTTTCTATTAAAATTTTAAAATTATTTTTTTAAACTATAAGGCGTAGATTGCGCTTTTAAATGCTATACAAATTTTGAAATTTAGTCTTATAATTATTAAAAGGCAAGGCACTCAAATATCGCTCACCAAAGATCGCTCACCAAAGATCGCTCACCAAAGATCGCTCACCAAAGATCGCTCATCAAATTTACTCGATAGGCCTGATCAAAAAAATGATTATGAATTTAATTCATATGTCTTTACTCGTATATACTAATACTATAATTCTATTAAGTATATTATCGATTTTCTACTAGCTATATAGCGAAAAGATATTAACTATTTATTCATTAGTCGAAAGTTGAAAATTAGCTATTTAACGACTAAAGAATTGTTTTCAAATCGATGAAAAACCCACTATTCTTTGCCAAGATCGTCCCGTGTACAGTACTGCTTTAGTTTTCTCGAGCTATTGTAGGTACGTATACATTACGCTCAAATATCTTTCGATGTAGACAATTCCCCAGTTCACCCTTTCGTCCTCGTAATGAACGGGTGCCGTAATGCTTCCGCAGGTGTACATCGTCTCTCAGGATTCAAGGAGAGACAACGGTCCAGCAGATCCACGAACGCATTTAATTCCTTGATCTCACCATCATTCATACCCTTTGCATTAGCCATCAATCTGGTTTTAAGGTCACGTGTAGGCTTGGAAAAGCTCATGATCCGAACAACATCCTTTTTCAAAAGTCAACTGTCTGATTCTCCGAGCTACAAGAGTTCGGGACAGAGAGCCTACCTTTCCCGTGACCTTGTCCTTTTCCACGCTTCTGAAGTTCAATAGATCATCGAAATGAAAGGCGGCGAATTGGGCCTTTCGGAGTATCTTGTGGCTGAATTTGCCTCGGCACTCCATGATTGCACGTAGCATTTGGTTGTTGCTACGTCCAGTGAACAGGATCTTTCCCGTATAGAGCTCAAAAAGGGTACATCCGACTGACCATACGTCAATTCCAAAATCGTAAGGCATTCCGAGAACTATAAATTTCCATCAGTGTCCCGGTCTGTAGCGGCATCAACAGGCAAGCACGTACTGATTTCTGGGGCCCGGTAAAAACGACTAACGAGGTATTGGGTAATTTCATTCTCAGACGCATCAGACGCAGAACCAAGATCGCAGATCTTGAGCACGTTGCGTGCCTCGTTGACCTTTAGCGGATCAGCACATTTGAGCCAATATTGAAAGGGCCAGCCACTCACGAGCACATTGTCCGGCTTGAGGTCCGCATGAAGGACGTTGCACTTCCTTAGAAGGCTCAAGCCCAAGAACATCTGCTGTGAGTACGCTCTGACGGCTTTCAAATTTATGCCCACGTCTCTCCCAAATTTCTTCAAGACTTCACGTAGGTTAATACTGACAGCGTTAGCGCTGAGGTCGAATGGTAGATCGAAGCGATACACATTGCTTATTACCTTAAATTCTCAAAGACCATGCACAAGTGGCCTTTGTGTTCAAAATAGCGTTCAAGTCTTATCATGTGCTTCTTATCCTCTGGATCCGCATACGAAAGCTTCTGGAGTATCTCAATCTCTTTGAGCCCAGCCTTCTTCCTAGGAACGATCTTAGCTCCAGACGCGAGTCCCAGGATGGATTGGCCTTACATTGTCTCATTGTTTCTGATAAGCTTGATAGCTACAAGACGCTTGGTGGTTTGGTCTGTTGCTCGCACTACTCCAGAAAACATCCCTTTACCCAGATTAGATTGAACGTGATAACGCCCGTCGAGAAGCTCGCCAAGTATGACTTTGTAGTAGCCTTCTGGATCATCCCAGTCATCAAGCATACTCATGTCAAGTGCTTTGGCTTGAGGTATGGCTACGGCTTTGGCAGCTATTTTCTCTGACTTCCGTGATGCGGCTGGAATTTCCGCAAACATATCAAGCTCATCATCTTCGGCGAACATATCCAATCCGTCGTCTGCCTTCTTCTCAACTGACTCTTGGATATCTGCGTCAGGTAGCAGAACATCTCGATCTTCCGTTGCCGTCTCATTGTAAGCCGCAAAAGGCATTTCGTCTTTACGCTGGTGCTCATCATGGCGCATCTTATCTTCTTGCATATCCTTCGTGGGATCGTAATCAGCCGCAGAAGGCTCATCTTCCGGCGTGAGCCCAATCGCTACGGCGCTACTGTTAGCAAGGTCGGCATCCTTAAATACCACGAAGTCGGTAGGTGATTCCTGTCCCGATGTGACTTGGGAGGTAGGACGAGGACTTTTCTGGGTGGACGCTTATCGTCACGTGTCAGCGGGTGCAATCAACGGAAAGCATTACAGCTTACCTTGGGCAGGATTGACTTCCGGCATTACGGTTGACTTTGGTGTCGATGGTGGAGAGGTAGTATCTAACGCTAAAGCCTGAACCAACAATGGGGTTGCTCGACCTCTATGCCTAGCCTTGATAGCCTCACGTCGTTTGCGACGCTCCTCGATCAAGATGGCCTCGTCAGCTGGCTGCGTACTTGTGGGTTGCGCGAATTTCCCTTTCTCCGCCGTGCTATCATTCTTGCTATCAGCAAATTGCGACCCTAGAGAAGACGGAACGTACTCAGCTTCCGAATCACTCCGTTCCCCAGCAGAAGTGTCAATACGCTGTATCTGATTGGTTCGAGTTTCAGCATCTCGTTTAAATTTTGCAGCAGCAACTGGGGAGTGACCCCGATCGCTCACTGACTGTTCTCTCGAAAGCCTCCTCTGGCTTTCTCTGTACCCTCTGTCAACTTGCTCACGCCGATGGCGGTCCCAATTTTCTCCCGTATGATGCCCACGAGTCTCTTCTCGCCTGGAACGGCCTTGCATAGGGGACCGGCTCCGCACAATTGGCCGCTTGTCCCGCAGCCGCCCATCCGCATCTTGTTCTTCGTAGCGGATGCCCCTGTCCGGACCATTGAATCCATTCGAATCATGATAGGGTCCGCGCGCGTTTGACCTAGAGCCTTGCGGATGGTCTTCGTAGCGGACCTTGAAACGACGGGGATCGTTCCGCGAGCGATCGTAGTGGTCATCGTCAACAGAGCGCTTCGCTCCCCGAACTTCTCTGTAGGGTGACCGAGAATCGGTGCGAGACTTGTGACGTCTGGGGGACCTAAGGGGTGAAGGAGATCGAGAGACTGATACACGTGTTCTGAATGAACGGTCAACGCTGTTGCCTTTCTTTGAAACAAATGTTGTAGTTGCCTTCTCTAAGTCTGACTCGACTATTTCACCCTCAGACGGTGGTGATATTGAATGAGAAGACATGATAAGTCGGTGAAAAGGGTCACTAGAACAGAGTCTTATCTGTATATGGTGATTGATTGTGAATTAGCCACTGATGCCAGACTGTGGTGAGGCTTTTGGCAATCGGTGAAAGATCCCCTCCCAGCACTATCCATGCATCATTATCGGTATAAGAGTATTCTCGAGGAAGCTTTAATTTTCAAGAACTTAGGACATTATAACCTTAGGTTTTGTTTGTCAGGTTTTAAGGTACATATCGGGAGCGTGCCACATTTATAGGAGGCTAAGAAGCGGCTCTGGCGATTCCTAGACGCCACATGTAAAATACTAAGTACCCCTGATTGCATAATCCTTGGGAAGAAAAAAGAATCCCCAATTCTGATATACCCCAAAAACAAAAAATAAGAATTTCAACTTTTCTATATATCTTCACAATTATATTTTATCATAATCTAGAAAATTATTAAAATTTAATAAATATAATATAGATTAAATTATAAAGTTTTTAAAAGATTTAAATATTTTATTATATTATAAAATAGAATAATAGCGAATTTTATAAAATGCTCTTAATAGCTTTAGAATAATCGAGATTTTTTTCCTTCAAATTTTTAAATTTATTTAATAGTCGAGATAATTTTTTAGCGTAATTAAAAAGCTTACTTTCTTATTATTTAAGATTAAAATTATAAAATATTCGATAATTATAAATTTAAAGTTAACTAATTAGATCTTTAGATTCGATAATTCTTACGCTAAAATTTATCTTATTTCTTTATTTCTAAATTAAAAGCGAGTATATACGAATATATTTAAAAGAGAAAGTTAAAAAAGAACTTTAAAATCTTTAAATCTACTCTTATTAATTTTCTTTCTTTTATAAAAAATATAATAATAAAAAAAGTTTATAGAGTTATAGAGTTAGCTATACGCTTTTAAATCGTATAGCGTAAATAAAATTTAATAAAGTATTTATAAAGATATATTAAAAACTAAGATTTTTATTTAAATTATTAAGCTTACGAGAAGAGTCTTTTTAATAGAAGTTCTTAAAGAGTTCTCGAAGAGCTCTCGAAGGGTTAGAGGGATTTTAAGAGGTCTTTCTTTAAGTATATTAAATAAATTATAATATCTCTCTCGATTCTTAGAATTAGATTCTCTAAAATCTTTTAAACTCTTTAAAACTCTTTAATAGCTCTTCGAGAGTTTCTATCGAGAAACTATTAAAGTAAACTTAAAATTAATTAAATATTATTATAATAATTAAATTTTAAATTTACTTTAATAGTCCCTCGATAGAAAATCTCGAAGAGTTCTTAAAGAGCCTTCGAAGGGTTCGAGGAGTTTTAGGAAATCTCTCTAAGAATAAAAAATAGTTAAAAACTAGTACTTGGCAAGCTTTTCACTACTGGGAAGGATACGCCCCAGTATATATTATTAAAGGTCGCTGCTACGCGTATAGCCCCTGTCTACTAGACGTATATATCCTTTACGCTTAAATTATATCTTCGAGATTTAGTCGTTAGCCTCTGGCAGGACTAGTCTGTTTAAATTTTAGCGTATCGCAAAAGCGAAGAAGCGAGTGTGTATAGGAGGGGCTCCCCGAAAGAAGAGAGGATTCTATTCACTCGTGATCGCTCTATAGATAGCAAGACTACTAGCTTTAAAGCTCTTAAGACTGCGTGTACCTGATATAAAGGGGGGGCTATACGCCTAGTAAATACAGGTAGAGGCTATACGCGTAGCAGCTGCCATATTAAATTAATATTTTAATATTTTATCTATATTATATAAATGAAATATTTTAAATAATTTAATATATAAAATATATAAAATATATAAAATATATAAAATATAATTTCTAGATTATAATTAATTATAGTTATTAATATATATAAAAGAATAAGATAGAATTAAGCTTAAAAATCTTAAATTTATATATATAGTTAATTATAAATTCGAGGTTATTACGCCTTTTAACTAGATCGACTAAGTTACCGCGGGTAAATAAATTAGCGTTCGCAATTATTAAAATCTCTTATTCTACTTTTAATCCTTTAATAACTTTATAATTTTCTATTAAAATTTTATAATTATTTTTTTAGATTATAGAGCGAAAATTGCGATTTTTAATAAGGTTAAAATTTTAAAATTTAATCTTATAATTATTAAAGAATAAGGATCTTAAATATCGCTTATTAAAGTTTAAGTTCGCTCGATAGCTCTAATTAAAAAATAGATATATATTATTTAATTTTAGAATAACATTTTTATTTTCTTTTAAAATTTTTTAATTATTTTTTTAAATTATATAACGTAATATAAGCTTTTAAATAAAAATAAAATTATTAAATTTAGTCTTATAAATATTTAAAGATAAAGAATTTAAATATCGCTTATTAAAGTTCGCTCGATAGCTTTAATTAAAAAAATAATTATGAATTTAATTCATAGGCCTTTACTCGTAAACCTATATATGAATTATTTAGGATTTTAATTTTTGATTTTGAGGTGTGCCAGAATTGGGGAATTTTTTTCCCCCTCAAGGATTATGCAATCAGGGGTACTTGATTAGTATCCCGGGCCCGTAATTATTTTCAGTTAACCTCACATCCTAGCTCGCCTCAAAATCTCAGCCATAACATATACCCCATAAGTCTCCAGTGTGTTAAGTCTTCTTCAACATGGGAGGAAATAGCAGAGAAGGTATTTCATGACAAAAGATATCAATAACTTATGTACCAACTAATCCTGATCTTAACGACAAGGTGGTAAGGCCAAGCCTCTCAAAGCACCCAAGAAGGAGAAAAAAGATCTGGACGAGGACGAGGTTGCATACAGAGAAAAGCAGAAGGCTGGTGGGTCATCTCAGATCTTTACCGATGAATTCATTGGCTAATTTGTGCCACCAGATGCGAAAGCGCAGAAAGAAATGGCCGAGAAGGCAAAGGGAAAGGGACCACTGAATGCAGGACAGCAAGGCATCAAGAAATCCGGGAAGAAATAGTTGATGTTATGAGAAGTGCTAGGCGACACGATACAATAGCGACTTGAAGCCCTGAATGGAGTTGATCGGGTTTATCCCAGACACTGCGAATAGTCGACGACTTCCATTGATGGTTGCTCATAATTCATCTACCACCAGTATCATTGTGGGGAAACACAACGATAATCACGAACTAAACAGATCAATACGTGGTCATCTTAATGTACTTGAAGAGTACGTCTACCTATTCTGCCGTTGCAAGCAGGCCAGTTTTGCTCGGAATCCATTCATGTTATACAGAAGACCTTGAATCATTCTTTCTAGATCATAGAAGTCCAATACCGTTGCAAGGAAGCATCCCTGTAAAAGCTTCAGCTGGTCACCCTTCTGACCCAAATACTTGTAGGTTCATATGCTGCGAATTCATCATCTCGTTTCAGCGCTCGATGCAGCATGAGACCCGTCTCGTGCTCATCTTTTCCGACCTCTGCAAGCTCCTTACTCAAAGCGTCAACTGTCCGTTTGATTTCCTGCCTCGAAGCCATATCATATGCAATGGAGCTTGGTTGCACAACGTTTGTTAGCTCATGGATGACGGTTTGCAGATTTTTCCTCCGTTGATGGAGATTATCTAGCTTAGCTTGGAGGCTTGCGATACGAGACGTAGCTTCAACTTCTGGAGGGGATTTTGGCAGAGACTTCCGTTTGCCTTCTGGTACCTGTTTCGGGGTTCCCAGCTCGGATGGCGTGGGCTTACGAGCAGTGACCTTTGAATTGGAAATCCCTGCGGGTGGCACAGGACGTTTCCTATTCAGTATTGAGTTTGGTGTTGTGGAAATTGCAGACATGGATGGTGAATTTGAGCTCAGCTCTGGAGTTGTTGGAGGACTGTCGTAGGTGGTCGTCGCGTAAGTCGTCGAACTGAAACGGCTGGGTGGTTGGTCTTGTAGGTGTAGGTGTTGTAGATCAGCACGAAATCTGCTCTCGATTCGACTCGGATCGCGTTCTGTGTCACGGTTATTCAACACAGCTTCGGGTATGGTTTGGGAGCGCATCTCTTGCATTTGCTGCAAGTGCGGGCTGTGTACGTCCTTGGCAATGGTCTGTGGCACGTCTGGTAGCATTTGTAACCGGTGGTCTTTGATTTCTTCATTACTTGGATTGCGGGCGAGGGGGGACCTTGCGTCATCAGTCGAAAGACTTGAATTTGGGGATTGAGTATTTTGCCGAAATGTTGGCGGGATCACTGAATCGGGAGAGCTCTCGGTCTTGGCATCTGGCGAGGTGACACGCTGACCGAGCGCCTTGTCATTAAGGGTGATGGATGGTCGGGTAGGTCGAGTCGTCAATTCCTGAGGGGAGTGGCTAGGTGTTGAAGATTCTATTGTCCTGTCTTGGTCTCTCTGATCTTTTTGATGTTTCTCACTGCCCGCAGGAAATGTGGGAGACTTTCCCGGCGGCAGAGGTTTGTCAAGAAGTGGATTCACAATCTTGTGACGTCCACCAGCGCCCCTCCATTCAGGTCGGACGATAGGTGCATTGTTCAGATCCCTGCTTGCGACCCTCTTACGCCCAATAGTACTACCACTACTTATGTGAGTAGAGGTCCCAAAACTCTCAAGGTTGCCATTGAGCCTGCCAGGACTTGGCTCCGCATTCAACTTCACCGCGCTGGGGGTCGTCTGTGGAGGTTTTCCCTTTTCCCTCGTTGTTGGCTCTCCCGAATATACATCCCAATGCGTCAGACTGGAGCCTTGTTCTGGAGAATTAGTACTTGGCCGATTCCAGAATTTCCGAGTCTTCTTGGCGACTGGTATGTTACTATTGAATCTGCCAGATGTGAAGACAGGCGATCGGTTTGCTAAAGGACTTGGAGACTCAGATACCGGTGAAACGTCAGGGCTACTCCTTCCACTTCGGCCGATGTACCCGTCATTCATGTGTGGAGATCCCGGAGGCGATACGTCGTCGGGGTAGAGGGAAGAAGACCTGATCTTATGGCCGTTCTTCCGTGTCGAATCGCTGTTCAGCTCCGGCGAAGGTTGTGAGTAAACTGAAGATGCAGTAGGAGCTTCAGATAATGGTCTGCCGTTTGTGACGCCGGAAATTTGCAATTTGTTGCTTTCTGTGTCAGCCTCGGATGCTTCTTGGTTGAGAATGGGAACATACAATGGCAGCGCTGGCAGCGCTTTGAGCACATCCTCCGTCCGCTTTCTTCCAAAAGCGGGCCTTGAGCTTATGCTGAAGGAGCCGTTATTGATATTTGGTGTACCTTGTAACGTATCCTCTTCCGCAGTAGTCTCGGTGAGAGTCGAGCTCTCAATCGCGATTTCGGCTTGGCGGTCTTTGTTATTGAGACGTTTCCACATCCTCCCTTGCCTGGCGTATGGGTCGGCAGTATTATTGCACGGTGCCTCCTCGAGAGTCCAGCTCGTAATCTGAGGATATACGCCGGCACAGGACCGGAAGAGTTATGAAGCGATAAGGTGCAATAACACTTTCGCTAGATACACGGCAACGTGATTGTGGGTAGAGAGATCGGGCCTTTGAACAAACAGTGTTGTTGTCTGTATGCTTTGTTATCTCACAACAGTCCGATATTTAGGGAGCCATTATAGAAGACTTTCTCTGCAAAGACAGTTTGACTCGGTACACCAAGCCTGGTTTATGACACAGCTGAAACTACTTAGGCGGCTTGCCCCGCCGTTGATTGATCGCCCTCGAGTATAAATAGGTCAGCCTTAACTTTTCATTAGTACCACTCTTATAATTACCACATCACTTCTCCCAAACACCATCGATTGAGCTCGTCTCACCTGTGACGAAGGATATGTCTGACAGTGAGTGCTCAGACCCCTTAAGTTGATCTAGCCGGCTCACAGATTGATGGCGCAGCTCCAGCAGCTACCCAAGCGTGAGCTACTTCTCCTTCTCTCAACTCTCAACACCACTGACTCGAAGATTTTCAGCGCCACAATCGCATCGCCGATCAACCTGATTCTTTTCTCGCTCCTGATTCTGCTCGTTTATTTCCGTCTTCGGCCAAGTCCACCATCTACCCTACCGAAAGGTCCTGCACCGGTTGTTTTCCGTAAAGTCACACCCGGACGATTGTCCATCGCATGTGTCGAAGCCTGACTAAGTTGATCCACGACCAGGCACATTTACCCCACCAACATTGAAGCCATACAATGGTGAGAAGAACATGCCCGTATATCTAGCTGTACGAGGCAAGGTCTTCGACGTTACGCCCGGCAAGAATTTCTACGGTCCTGGTGGACCCTACGAGAATTTCGCTGGACGAGATGCGAGTAGAGGCCTGGCATGTGGTAGCTTTGACGAGGACATGTTGACCAAGGATCTTTACGGACCGTTGGACGATCTCAGCGGACTGGGATCGGATGAGAGGCAGGCAATGCAAGATTGGGAGGATAGATTCGCTGGTACGTTGTTCTGTACTCTCACAAGCCAAGAGTCCGGTTCTCCAAACCCAACGTTGAGTCTCGAGACATATCTTAGGAGAAAAAATACTCTCTAGATATGTTTCCAAGCTCTGAGGTCCCGTCTCGCACCAGCTGTGCTGACTACAAATTTTGACTAGATAAATATTTGGTTGTCGGAAAGCTTGTACCCGTATCTGAAGCTCCAAAGGAGGAATCCTAGACTTGCCGATTGGCTCGTCATGGAGGAAGCACATGGTCGGATTTGCTCCTTTCAACATTGGGTAGTACCCGATGATCTCTTCCATTCAGTGTGGTATGGCAGAACCGCTTTGCTAGCTTGTAGATCCGCCCGCAGAGGAAATAGAGATACGTAGTCACAACAAATTCAAGCAAAGAGTACTCTACTCTACAGTTAAGAATCTACAGTCTTAGACTGGCGCGGGATTATGAGCGGGAAGCCCGCCGTATGCCGATAGAGAGACAAGGGTCCGCAGATCTCAGGTTAGAGTACTCTACAGGGGCTTTAGGTTCACTTGAGCATTACCTTAGTCTTGGCGAATAGAGGCTTCACAACTACGCATGCACCTCTAAACATCGAAAGATTACTGTCATCCTCGTCACTTTACTTCGAGTTGCATCGCGGCCTCGACTTCCAACATCCAAGCCGGACGGATCGACAATGGGACTACAAGGCTTCTCGTTAGGACATTCATAGCACTTGCTCCAGAGGCTCATAGCCCCCTTGAACCTTCCTCATGGTAGACAAGAAGCCGAACCGGCACGACCCGCATGGGTCTTTGCCAATACCTACCTATGACGAAGCGGTCAATGCCCGTCCTTCCTCCTCACAGCCATTCCTGGGGGCCGAAGAAATCAGCAATGATGCTGAGCGACAAGGGTTGCTTTGGAGAGAAGAACAAAGTGGCCATCAATCGTCTGCAGTGGAATCTCCTCGGTCGAGCCTGTCATTCAGCAACTCCTCAAGAGCTTCTACCGAGGAGTTGCGGCATGAGATGATGACGCAGATGGATGTGCTCGAGCCGGAAGCAAATGGAGGTCGCATAAGAGGAAATTTGCTGCGAAGAAACCAACTCTCGAAGCGTATCACGAGTCTGACACATAGCCTTTCCTCTCTCTCATTCCGTCAATGGCTCCCCTCCTGCGACTATGTCATAGCAAAGATACCTACCTTCATCCGCCAATTCCAACCAAATTGGGCTATCATGATATCGCGTTTATTCGCCCTCTTTCTTGTTTTCTCCCTGGTCTATCTACTATTCTTTTCTGACGTCTTTACCGTCGGCCGCAGGGGACCCGGTTCCGCAACAAAATTCCCTGATATGGTAAGAGAGTTCGTACGTAGCAATGCAAATGCTTCTAGCATACGAGAAAGTTCCAAGTATTTGACACTCTTCGACCATGTGGCTGGCACCAAAGGAAGCTATGTTTTGGGCGAATTTGTAGAGAATATGTTCATAGAGAGTCGATTGGAAGACGTGCAGATGGAACGGTTTGATGTGTATGCTTCGAACAGGCCCCACCACTCATAGATTTTCACTGACAAGCAAGTAGATATCTCAATTATCCTAAGCTGGGCGGAAGGAGAGTTGCCATAATTGACCCTCCGGAATTAGCTTGGGAAGCTTTGATAGAGGAAGAGCAGGCTCATGAGTCTCGCGAACAGACTATGGTCTTCCACGGGCATTCGAGGTCTGGAAAAGTCAAAGGCCCTCTAGTCTATGCCAATTATGGGTCAAGAGAGGACTTTAAGAGACTTCAAAACCAGGGGATTGATATGGGAGGCTCAATTGCTCTTGTGAGGTATTACGGCAGCCAAGGGGATCGAGCTTTGAAGGTCAAAGCGGCTGAACTAGCTGGAGCCGTGGGGTGCATCATTTACAGCGATCCGGCAGAGGATGGCTTTCTTCTGGGGAACGATACGGTCCAGAGGGGAGCTGTCAGCCTAATGAGTTGGGTTGTGGGCGATGTCCTAAGCAGCGGATTTGCTTCCTTCCCTGGAGAAGAAAGGAGAGACTCCAAGGACGGAAACCCTGGACTGGTCAATATCCCATCGGTACATAATTCTCATCTTTGAGTTACTACACGTGTCTCGGAAGCAAAAGTCTCTTGCGACCCCCCCAAGCTGTCCTACAGCCTATGAATGTTGCGTTGGAAAACCATTGCTGACTACGAATCCTCGGCAGATTCCATTGTCATGGCGAGACGCCCAAACGCTGTTGCAAGCGGTAAGAGGACATGGCATGAAGCTGGACGATCATTGGAAGGGAGCAGTCCCCCAGGTGGACGAATGGTGGACCGGTGATGCCAATTCCCCTATTGTACTACTGCAAAACGATCAGGAAGAAGTAGAGAGAAGCCCAATTTATAACAGTAAGGCACTTTTCGAAGTTATCTCTTCTTGTTCGAGACTGCTTTCCGAGTCGCGAGACATGTTGGAGAAACAAGTCGCATATGTTGCCACCCTTTATACTCCCCAAACATGTCTTATTCCTCAATTCATTATCGACGAATGGAAATGCTGAGTCCGAAATGTGCTAGTCCTGGGCAAAATCACAGGAGTTGAGCAACCAGAAAAGTCCAGTACGTATCTTCGGCAATTACCTTCCCTCTTTCGGACCAGATGTTCCCAATGCTGGAACATGTCTTGGGGGTAATTGCTCTCTGGACATGTTCCAAGACTTGATCTACCCCCTCGAAGAGGCATTACTGACTCCGATTCCTTGATCTAGTAATTGTTGGTAGCCACCGTGATGCATGGTCAGTGCGTATTCTGGAGCAATTGCTTCCTTATCCATCCCTCAATCTTAGACCGCGAGGCCATGCTCGCGAGCCAAAGGCTCATTGTACTACCCAGACCTGTCTCATGACCGATATTTTTTTTCTCCAAGAAGTAATGCTGACTCTGAATTGTGCAGGTGTTTTGGCGCTGCAGACCCGGTTTGGAACACCATAACTTATGAAATCTCTCAAGCTGACTGCTGCGCAGGGAAGCGGGACAGCAGTAATGCTCGAGGTTGTTAGGATCTTTGGCGAGCTGAGGAAGAGTGGATGGCGTCCGCTAAGAACAATCGAATTTGCGTCATGGTAAGTCTCATGTATCCCAATACTTCATTAGGTTGAGCGGATTGGATCATTCATTACCAAGCCCAATCCTCTTCTATTTTCCTTCCTTTTTACAATTCATCTTCGTTCTTTGATGTTCCGCTTCAGCACAAACCGCATTGAAACCTTTCATTTAATGCGACCGCTTACAAGAGCATAAGGGACGGAGAAGAGTACAATCTCATAGGGTCCACGGAACACGTTGAAGGAAGACTAGAAGAGATTCGCCGCAATGGATTCGCCTACTGTACGTATATCTCGGAGGGCTTCCACCCTTTTCGGGAGCAACATCTGCGTCGCAAGACATGTATCGAGAGCAGAACGCTCTTTTTCCTCGTCGAATCTGTCGTATGACTCGGGTTCTTGCCTTGAAGAGACTATACTGACTCGGATATTTGCGTAGTGAATGTAGACATTGCCGTGAGCGGAAGCGACTTTGAGGCATCAGCTTCACCCCTCCTCCAAATGGCTCTTCTGCGCGTTCTTGAGCGTGTCGTGGATCCAAAAAAGAACAAGACTCTTCGAGCAGTGTGGGCGGAGAAAGGTAGTAAGCTTGGAGGACTGGGCGCAGGTAGCGAGTATGTATCTTGGGAGCCCAAATCGTCACTTTGAACCAGGTTTTGAGCCGTGAGACTTGTCCCGGGCCTGTGTACCCTGCAGACATGTCTCCAGATTCAAGATTCACTCTTGAAATGGCAATACTGATTCTGTATTCTTTATGTAGCTACGTTGCTTTTCAGGACATCGCAGGGACATCTTCTCTCGACATGACGTTCAAAGGTGGCTCTTATCCCTGTACGTCT